CTTTTTTTCTTGAATTGCAGAATAATGCAGATATTATTCTGTGAAAACAGAGACTTGAGAAGGATATAATAATTGTGTATTAAATGTAGTTCTGGAGTGATGGTATTAAAACTAAACATATTGAATAATAAGTATTTGTACTAAAATATACCAATGAAAATAATTGCAGGCCTTGACCATGTCAAACACTGGTCACACTAAAATATGTAGTTGGTTTCCCAAATTCAAAGCCACATAGTGGTTGCACAAGTTTCTCAAACTAGTAATCAGCCCATTAAATACAGTGTGTGTGACGTGCTACAGTAGAGGAGACCACAGGAAGCCATGGGAAAGCAGAGGAGTCTACAGGGAAAACTCAACACAGGCTGCACATTTAGGCATGTTATTTTAGAAGAAATGAAGATTAAACTATTGCTACTCAAACTGTGTGGCCTGCAGACCAGGGACATTACTGTCACTTGGGAGTCTGTTAGGCAGATTCTCAGGCCCCACTTTAACTTTAGTCAGAATGTTTAAGATCCCCAGACACACTAAAGTAGAAGAAGCACTCCTCTCAACCATTGTGAAGTGATAGTTTTAAACCTAGAAGATGTCTAGCCCTTTGGAGTGCCAAGATGAAGACACATGCAGATTAGAAGCACCACATTTTCCCTTTAGTTTCCTTGTGCCTGTTGTGATATTTCTGAAACTGTTACTAAACCGTTGCTAGCATCAACCATATATGTATTCTGAAATTATTGAAGGCTAAAACTATACATCTGTTTCTATAAATTTATAGTACCTTATTAAATCACGATCAGATCTAATTTCTTATTCTACCTGATGTTGAACTCAGTTTTGTACACAAAACTTTTTTTATGTAGAAAGAATTCTGTCATAGAAATGAGATGTCTGCTACTGTAGCCTAATGTACACTAGAGTGAGTACATTATTTATCAAAAAGACAAATGATACACTCTTATGTTTTCTGTTTTTCTTATTAGTTATCTTTCTGCTTTGTCTCCTCAGTGTTTTTACTTTCTCTAGATTAAACTCACTGTTTAATAACAACTTTGCTTTTGCGTACGTGTGTTGGGAGACGGTGGACTCAGGGTTGACTTAGGGTGTGGAGGTGTGAAGTTTGCCTGTGAGACACCAAACCTTCTCTGGCTGCTCCCAAAACTGAAAGTGTTTCTTGGACTGTAATAGTGATGCTGATCGTATTTACCAGCAGCAGTGGGGTTTGACTTTTAATAGAAGAGTTGCCCGTAAGAGCCTCTCCTCCACCTGCCACTACTGCTCTCATTTCCCTGCCCCCGCCCTCATAACACCTGTGTAACTTACTAGGTTGATAAATTTACCTGAGGAATTGGCCTTGAAGCAGAAAGAAGCTTAACACCAACTTTAAACAATTCTGGGGTTGGGCCAGCCCGGTGGCGCACTCCTACAGTGCGCCGCTTGGGAGTGCAGTGGCGCGCTCCCGCCGAGGGTTCGGATCCCACATACAGACCGGTTCCCGCTCACGGGCTGAGCGAGGTGCGGGCGCGGGCGCAACACCGAGGGTTGCGATCCGTTGCCGGACACGAAAAAAGACAAAAAGGGAGGAAAAAAACAATTCTGGGGTTAAATAATTATTCTTGGGATCTAATTCAATTTCTGCCAGGTAGTATTTTTAAAATTTCTGTAGGATTTGATAGCAAATTGGTTCTGTTTAGCTCTTTTTACAATTTACAGTCTCCTGATAGCTACATTTTGAAGTGTTTTGCTTTTAATTCAGTTTGGAGATAGTTTAAGAATAACAGAGCATTGGATAGTTTGGTAATTTTATTTTTATAGGTGAGGAAATCCAGATTTGAGGCTATGACTGGTGGGGGGATTAGTGTATTTCGTATCAGAGTACAGTGTTTATTGATGAATTTGTGCATGCATATGTGCAAAATGCTTAGTAGAAAAAAATAGATATTCAATAAGTGCTGAACAGAGTGCTTAACACAGCAGTGAACAAAAAGGGCATGGTCTCTTTTCACCAGGCTTGCAGTCTAATGGCAACAAATAATTACAGTGGAATAAGTGCTACCACAGGGTAAAACGTGTTGCAGTAGGAGAACACATATATCACAGAGCCAGCTAACCTTTTCCTAAATAGTTTATGTAAGTTCTTTTTGATCAAAGCTGAGATATGAAGGATACTTTATAATTAAATGTTGATAATTACAGCTGAATTTTAGTTTTAAGTTCTAAAGATATATTAGGTAGCTTCTTCTTTGTCAAAATACCTAAGTAGAATTGTAATTTTTCTTCAGTTCCTATAAAATTGCACATAATCAATCTTTCAGTGTCTTATAACATACTTATTAAAATTTGTAATGTGATTATCCAAGCTTTTATTATGTAAGTTCTTCATAGAAGTTGAGTGGTTTTCTAATTATCCCTGAACTGGCATCCAAACATTCTTGATCTATAAAGCCTTCATTTGGTTCATCCATGTTATATGAAATGTAAATGCATTTTGAAATGAAATACAGTTTTGGCATCAAAGCTAACTTTTAAATTATGATGAATAATAAATACAAAATCACCAGAGAATTTTTATTTCTGAAATAGCTATTCAATATTATTTATATCTTAGAGTATGACTTTTTATGGAATGTTTTGAGAACTGTCTACTGACATAACATTAAACAATCTACCAAAAGGAATTTAAGTTTGATACTAGCCAGATATCCTCAGAGGAAAACTGATGGAAATATTAAAAACTAAATTTAGATATCTCTTGCCTCCACTCCCTAATGCTAAATAAAATTATAAACAGTAAGACAACCCAAATGGTGCTGCAATGAGAGTATGCTGACAGTGTATTAAGGAGAAGACGGTGTGTTAAGGAGAAATTAAAGGGTTTAAAATAGGGTAGTGACTTCTTGATCAGATTTGCATTTTTGAAAAATTCCTCTGGCTGCTGTGTGGAGAAAGGCTTGAGGAGGTGCAGGCGAGGAAGAACCATAAAGACCAGCAGACTGCTGAAGCAGGCCCAGTGAGGTAGTGGCAGCTGGGGGCAGTGAAGTGCGCAGAAGTGAAAGCATCGGAGACAAACACGGAAGACAAAATTTTTTGAATTTACTGATGATTTGGATTGAAGGACTGGCAGGGGAGAGGAACGAAGGGCCAGAAGAGAGTGTGAAAGGAAAGAACAAATCCAGATAACGCCCAGTTTTCTGGCCAGAAGACTGGCTGCCATTTATAAGGATGGGGAAATCAAGGAGAAGAAACTGGTTAGATGTGGTGAACTTAACAAATTTTATGTGGCTAAATGGAAATGCTAAGAAGCGAGTTGAAAATCGCACCAATTTGGAGATCTCAGAACAGGGTAGAACTAGTAATGTGAGTGTGGGAGATAACATCTTCCTAGATGATGTTTAAAGCCGTCACTGTGAATAATGCCAGCTGGGATCTAGGCTTCAGCCCTGGGAAACACCAGGGTTTAAGAGAAGTCAGGTGGAGGAAGAACTTGCATAGACAGTGGAGGAATGTTAGCAGGGAGGTCAGTGAAACATCCACAGGTGTGCTATCACCAATCTAGTAGAGCTTCGTGCCAGATGTTAGGAACTTGAATAAAATGAGCACAGAGAAATGGCTTTGGGCAACACAGATGTTACCGAAGACCGTGAAGACCTGGACTGCTACAATGAGGAGGAAGACACGGGCAAGTCGATCTGATAGTGGGAAAGTGAGGTCATTCACTCGCAGTGGTTGCCATTCCAGTGAAATCAGCATAGCGTTAGCTGAGCTTGGGGAAAGCTAGGTTTGTGGGTCAGGGAGAAAACCTAAGACTAATCCTGGAGGGTGAAAAAAAAGTGTTTGCTCGAGAGAATGAGTTGGATTGGTGGGCTTCAAATGTGTGTGGTTTGAATTTATGAATTAAAAGGGAAACCAATTTCTCCCTTGTGTGGTTTTTCTAAAAATACTGTTATTCTGTTAACTATCTCCTCCCCCAAAGAGGAGTCAAGCTGTTATTTCTGATTAATTCCTGGTGGGATTTCTATGTAATTAATGGGATACTACTTGTTAGTTTGATAATATTCTTCAAACCTGGTAAGTATTGTGTACCTTGTCTTAAGTTTTGGTTATTTAATTGATAAAATTACAGCATGCATCGTTGAATTACCTAATTTAAAACAGGTTCTTTATTGTTTGACATTTGTTTTGAGTTTTTCTTTAAAAAGTTACCTTTGTGGAGTAAACATTTTTCTTTATGCTGCTTAGCATCTTCATCAGATTAGTTCAGATTATTGCTGAATGTGGTTATTTGGAAGTTTTATTTTAACTATTTTACTAAGACACTGTTTCCTGTATAATTTATCAAGTACTTTAGGCATTTTAATTTGCAAATTTAGGACAATTTGCTTTAACATTTCTTCACGTTTAAAATTAGTCCCTTGGATGTAATCTCCATAAAATATTAGTTCCCCCAAATCAAAATCAAAACCAAAACCCACAACTAATGGTCACTGAAAGAAAAAAGTGATTAAATGCAAAGGTTATCATGGTGTTTGCATCTTAAAGTTAAGTTACAAAGTAACTTCCCACAGTTTGTGTGCATCTTTTTTTTGCTCTTGTTTCTCATTACATTTTTTTTTGCCTACTGGTTTGGTTTATAGCAATAGGACATAACTTTTTTTTTAAGGTTATATCCCTTTCTCCTATTAGAGTGGGATTATCTTTAATTTTTTGGTGCTATAATTGCAGTTCGTGAGTCAACGTTGATGTCATACAAACCTTAATCTTAATATTTCTTTGTAGTGATGTTTCAACCAGAATAAAATATTTAATGTAACTTGTAGCTACAGACACTTAAGTATAAAGTCACTGTAAGTGATAAGCTTATTTTCCCTATGTTGAAGCAATTTGTCCTAAATTTCCATACGTTTGCTTTGTTTTTGCTGTTCTAAAATTCCTTAGTTGCTGGCTTTGACCTTTTATGTTGCTGAGTTTTATACATCTTTTTCTCACCTGCCATATCCTAGGGGGCTTGGAGTACCCATAATACAGTGAGCCCACCTTCCTGGTCCCCAGACATTTCAGAAGGTCGGGAAATTTTTAAACCCAGGCAGCTTCCTGGCAGTGCCATTTGGAGCATCAAAGTGGTAAATAAATTGCATTTACATTCATGTATCGTTTCTTTCTGTTTTGTTTTGTCCTACTGGATATTAAGAATTAAATCTTTCTTTTCTATATTCAGCTTCCAGAGCTACTATTTTAATCTAAAATTTTTAATGTAAGGAAACAGCATGCTTGCATTTAAATATGTGGATTTAGGAGGAAGTTAAATTGCAATTTTACAAGTGTAAATTTTTAATACCTCTTTTTATGGTTGATTCCTTTTGTTGTAATTACCAGAGTTGGTATGAGGGGGAAATTCTTGTCACATAGGCCGAAAGGTAACAAGGACTTGTTCATTTGTGATATAAGATTTTGTTGCTTAGAAAAGAACAAAAGAGAAACTCCATTAATCTATTATGTACAAATGGAGAAAAAATACCAGAATTGCAGCAGATTTCATTGTCTGTGTTAATAACCTCAAAATTGTAGGGTGTTTTTTTCCATGTTATTGGTGGATGACTCTGCTAGTCCTTGAAGTAGATTAAGTACTCTGATGCATGTTGAAGGGAAAAAAAATTAATTTGAAAAAGTGTTAATTATATCAAAATTTAAAATACTTTGACTAGAGAAGACATTTTTCTTCATCTTCTATATTTAATATAATTCTGGAATAAGGCTGTTTTAGATTAATCAAGTATTTCAGGGGTGTTCTAGATTGTACTTTCTTACTTATGTCATGCTTGGAAGAATAATTTTTCAGTTCACTTTGATATCATCCAAGGTATTGAGATATAAATATTTGTTTTCAGTATAAAAGATGACTTGATAGACGATTTTGTAGCAAATACCACCAATTTTCACTTATCTGTGTCATTGGATGTTGGGGAAGATAAACTGAGAGGTTACTATAGTCTTGATTTTTAATCACTGACTTAATTTTAAAAGAAAATTTTATATCTATTTAAAAACAAAAGAAACTGTCCAGCTCTACCGCATTCATACCTTGTTCAAAGAAACTGATGGACCTCTCAAGGGATCTGAAGGAGAGCAGGGTGAGAGAAGAAAAGGAGAGGCAATTTGAAAACTGGAAGCTGGCTTAATTAAAACTGAAGGGAAAAAAGGATTCCCCTTCCCTTTTGTTCATGTGTATCTGTTTTGTGCTCACAATAGAACCATACATTTTTGACTTAGAAACCATTCTGCTAAATAAGGAATGAGTTCAACATTTCAAACTATGGTAAGTGATATTAGTTGAAGATATGACATATTGTTTAACTTGTTAGGGGAAAAAATCAGAAAGGATTTTCCTGAGTGTTTTAATAATTTTAAGTATATATAATATGTCTACTTGTGTAGATGCCAGGTTTTTTTTTTTCAGGGGTTAATACAAAAGTCTGAGTATAAACAAACAAACAAAACAAAAACAAATCCCTGTTACTTATGTCTTAAATATGTGTAAAGATTTGTATTGTCTTTTAATTCTATTTTTCCATGAACTTTTTGAAGTATCTTTGTATCAGGGGATTTACAGTGCTTTCCATAGGATTTTTCTCTTGTGTTGGGTAAAAAGTCAGATAAATTATTTCTATTTCAAATATTTATTGTCCAGAGATTCAAAACAAAGCTTTTACCCTCTTGTCAACTTTCCTAAAATCTTCAAATAATTTTTTTTCTCTAAATACTATGGTTGAATGAGGTAGACAGTTTCAGTTTATAAGACAGCTACTGAATAGTAGATAAAACTGACCTAATTTTAATGGCAGGAAGAATACTGTTGTGTACTAGTAAAAATTAACTTTCTTGCAATGTGGTAGTACAGAACAGTGGTTATAAACCAGGAACACTAGAGCCAGATTTGCTAGCTCAGTGACCTTGGACAAGGTACTTAACCTTTTTATCCCTCAATACACTTATTTACAGCATGGGTAATAAAATAGAGCCTACCTTGTGGGATTGTTGAGAGTTAAAAGTGCCTACATCAGTACATAGTAAGTCCTGGGTACGTGTTAGCTATTACTGTAGTCACTGAGACCTTTTACTGAGAGAGGTTTTCCTTGTGCTTACTCTGTATTGAATATAATTTTTGCACATTGAAATATCCGGAGTGGATCGTGGTTGTTCTAGCCACCTAAACATAGGATTAGAAAATGTAAAAATAACACCAAGGCCTGCTGATGGAGAGCATTCACAATGATAGACCCAAAGTTTGATTCTAATGTTGTAAGTATTCTGTATTTATATTTTTAAGCTGTGGAATTCATACTTAAAGATACCAATAATAAGCCCGGTTTCAAAGTTTATCATCTCATTAGACTAAAAGAGAGAAGCAAGTGCTCGTGTAACATTTAATAAAATGTTTTCTTTCACTGACATTTGGATTTAAAAAAATACTTTTGGGCTGTCACAGAATGTTGACTCTTCCTTATCTGTTGTATAGGGCCGTGGGTCTGGATTTCCGGGGAAGCGGAGACCTCGTGGTGCAGGACTCTCAGGACGTGGAGGCAGAGGAAGGTCAAAACTCAAAAGTGGAATTGGAGCTGTTGTGTTGCCTGGGGTGAGGCCTGCTTTGTTTATGTTTGCTATAATCTTTAATGTCAATTAATGGCGATAATCTTATTTGTAGCAAGTTATTTGGATCCTAACAGTCATGTAAATAGGCAAAATTATTTATTTTATTTTACTCTATCTTTACTTTACATTTTTTAACCTCTATCAGTTTTTCTTTTATATTTTCTGCTTTCTCATCCTTTCTCTCTTTTCTTATCCTCTTCTTGTACTCTATTTTTCTGTGACAACCGTCCCCCAAAAGCCAATGTGTAATATATTTGAAAAAAGCAAACAAACTCTTGTTACATTCTTGGTTCTACTATATTTGAAAATTAGGTTGGCGTTGAAAGGTTTTGATTACAGTTGCTGTCACTGTGGTAATACGGCTTACAGAAGAAACTAGAAATATTACAGATTACTGTGGACTCTGAACATGTTGAAGATTTTATGACCGTCTTTGACATATTTTAACCTTTTAATAAAATGTGAACAGTCTTGAATATATACAATACTGAAAATATAATATTGTGCATATTGTAAACAGGTGATGGAGATAAGTCTTGCTGAAGGATTATTTAAGACTATTTTTTGTAATAAAAATGAATTTTATCTTATTATTTTTTATTGAAACATAATTGATTGTTCATATCTGAGGAGTACAGTGTTGAATATCAATACCTGTGTGTGATATGTGATGCCAAATCAGGATAATTAGTATATTTATCATTATGCAATATATATATTTTTTAATTTTATCGTTATACAATGTAAACATTTTTGTGGCCCTTTACCAGTTTTTCCTTAGCCTCCCTTCCCCCACAATATTTTAATTTAAGATTGATAAATATTTGCTCATTGGCACATTACGAGGCTTTATTGAAGGGCGTATTGAAAAATATATTTGGTAACTGTTGACACATATTTTATGTAGTAACTTCATATTTAACTTAAATCCTGTTTTTCAGATTCTAAATGTCATTTTAAGTTCAGGAGACAGGTGAAATTATTCAATTTTACTACCAAATTTAGGAGTAAAGAAATTCTGGTCCTTTTTTAAAAAGCAAATTAAAAAATCAAGGTATAGTTGATATAATTTAAGCTACAGATATTTACTGTGTACATTTTTGTAAGTTGTAACGTGTATACCTTTGAAGACCATACCACAACATGACAGTGAATATATTCATCCCCCCAAATTTCTTCATGCTCCTCTGTAATCTCTCTGCCCTCCCCCCAGCACCAGTCCTTGTCCCTAAGCAGTGACTGATCTGATTTCTCTCACTGTAAATTACTTTGCATTTTCTAGGGTTGGATATAAGTGGAATCACACAGAATGTACACATTTCATTCTGATTTATTTCATTCAGCATAATTATTTTGAGATTCATCCATGCTGTTGCATGTGTTAATAGTTTATTACTTTTTGTTGCTGAATAGTATTCAAACTGTGGATGCACCACAGTTTGTATATCTGCTCACCTACTGGAGGACATTATTGTTCTCAAATTTCTTGGCAGTTAGAAATAAAGCTGCTACGAACTGTGTGTGTAGATCTTTATATGGACATTGCTTTCTTTTTTCTTGGGTAGATATCTAGGAGTGGAATGGCTGGATATGGTAGGTGTATACTTAGCTTTTTAGGAAAAGGCTGTTCACTATTTTCACACCCAGTTCACCTACACTAGGTATGCTCATTCTTCTTAATTTTAGCCATTCTAATAGGTATGTAATAGTATCTTATTTGCATTCTGTAATGACTGATGATATCAGCTTTTTAGGTGCTTATTTGTTGTCCGTGTATCTTCTTTGATAAAGTCACTCTTCAAATCCTCAGCCCATTTAAAAAATTTGGGTAGTTTTTTAACTTACTGAATTTTGGGAGTCCTTTATGTATTTTGGACACAAGTTCTTTATCATTTATATGATCTACAAATATTTTCTAACATTCTATGTCTTTTCATTTTCTTAACTGTGCTTTTCTAAGAACAGATGTTTTAATTTTGATGAAGTCCAGTTTATTAATTTTTTCTTCTATGGGAATATTTGTATTTGTATAACCTAAGATCACATTTATGTTCTGTATTTTCTTCCAGATGTTTTATGGCTTTAGGTTTTATATTAAGATCTGTGATCCAATTTTAATTTGACTGTTCTTGTGTATATGAACGTAGATCTATGAATGTAGATTGAAGTTCTTTTTTTGTTTTGCTTATTGACTATCCAGTTGTTTTGGCACATTTCTCTGAACTGCCTTTATATCATTCTTGAAAATTAGTTTTCTGTATACATGTGGATCTATTTTTAGCATTTTTATGCTGTATCATTATCAGTTTCTGTCTTTAGGCCAATACTGCACTATCTTGCACTACTTTATAATGACTCTTGAAATCGGACACTGTTAGTCTTCTATTTTTCTGCTTTTTAAAAATTGTTTTGGCTATTCTAGGTCCTTCATGTTTCTATATGAATTTTAGAATTAGCTTATCAATTTCTACAAAATAAGCCTTCTAGGATTTTGATTGGGTTTACATTCAAATATAGATAATCTGGAGAAAAATGACGTTTTAACCACATTGAGTCTTTTAACCCATGAACATGGTGTATGTTTCTCTCCATTTCTTAGGTCATCTTTAACTTCTCTCAGTGATGTTCTGTTTCAACATTTTTCTGATGTTCTGTTTCACATATTTTCTCAGATCTATCCATAACTCTTCCATATATTTATGCTACTGTAATGGTCATGTAGTCTTTATTTCAAATTGTTATTGTTGCTAATATATAGAAATACTACTCATTTTTATATATTGACCTTGTATTATCCCACAACCTTACTAAGCTCTATTACTAATTCTAGTTGCTTTTTTGGTAAAATCCATTGCATTTTCTGCATATGCAACCTTGTTGTCTCCAGATAAAGTTTTATGTCTTTCCAATTTGGAGGCCTTTTTTTTCTGTTCATTCTTTACTGCATTTGTTATAACCTCCAATACAGTGTTGAATAGAAGTGATGAGATCAGACAACATTGTCTTGTTTTAAATCTTAGATAGAAAGCATTTAGCCTTTCATCATTAAGTATTGTGTCAGCTTTAGTTTTTTTTTGTTTTTATTTTTATTTTTTTCAATGGATGTCCTAAATCAGTTTGAGGAAGCTCCTCTCATAATTTTCTGAGTGTTTTTTTGTTTTCTGTTTTGTTTTGTTTTTAATTAGGAGTGGCTGTTGCATTTGTCAAATGCTTTTTTTTTTTGCATCTATAGAGATAATCACAATCTTTTTTGTTTTTAAAATTTTTTTTCCAGTTTTACTGAGGTATAATTGACAACTAAAAATTATATATATTTAAGGTATACAGCATAATGTTTTGATATATAAATACTTACACACACACTGTGAAATGATCACCACAGTTAAGCTAATTAACATATTATCACCTCACATATTTATTTGTGTTTTTGATAAGAACATATTTAAGATCTACTGTCTTAGCAAATTTGAAATATATAATGCTTTGTTGATATGGTGAATTACATTTTTATGCTAAAGTAATCTTGTGTTCCCGGAATAAATTTCACATGGTCCTGGTGCTTTATCTTTTTTGTATATTGTTGGATGAAATTTAGTATCGGCATAATGCTGGCTTCATAGACTAAACTGGGAAGTATATTCTCCTCTTCAATTTTCTGGAAAAGTTGTATAGTATTAGAAATTTTTCTTATATTATTCATAGAATTTAATAGAAGCCATATTGGCCTGGAGTTTTCTATGTGGAACATTTTATAACTATAAATTTAATTTTTTTGATAGGTATCTGTTTAGGTTATCCGTTCCTGAATAAATCTGTGTCTTTCAAGGAATTTGTCCATTTTGTCTAAGTTGACACATTTATGGGTATAGAGTTGCGATTGTATTATTTCTTAATTATCCTTTTAATACCTGTAGAATCTGTAGTGATGTCACCTTTCTCATTCCTGATATTGGTAATTTGTGTTTTCTCTTTTTTTCCTGATCAGTCTTACTAGAAATGTATTGGTTTTATTGATCTTCTTGATTCAGCCTTTGCTTTCATTGATTTTTTCTTTTTTCTTTTTTTTTTTTTTTTCTATTTTCTGTTTTACCAATATCTACTCTGGTCTTCATTATTTCCTTTG